TAATATAAAGCCCAATGCAGATGTGCCATTAGTGACAACCCGAAATCACGCCACTCGACATACACCCCACCCTCTCTCCTCCCAGATTATCACTCAGCCGACTGTGAATACACTCATAATAGTTTCAAACTGGTGTCAAGCTTCAAAAGCATACTATATACCACGCTAGACCTTACTTCAAGATCTGTATGACATATAATTTCATTAAACCACCGATGATCGTTATTACAACTGAACAATTACATTCTAGTAAATTTCCTCTGTCTTCATCCATAAAGCTCCTTTTCGTATCTTTTCTAATATTACATAAATAACTGCTAAAACACCAATTTCGCTGAACTACGAAAACTCACCTTCACGTTTGTTCCTGCCCTTTCTTGGTACCATTCCTTGATTTCTTTCACTGGTCCGCATTTTACAAGTCCATGCTTTCCACGTCGCTTTATTAGCTGATCGGGTTTTATGACCGCTTTCTAAACCGAAAAATTCGCTTCACCAAGATAAAGTGAATTAGAGATAAGTTCAACTGACCTGACCACCACTCAACCAGGTCACTCCTTTCACCACCGAGTCGAAATCGTCGCCAGTAGATACGCGAACAGCCGATGGAGCATCGATCAGACCACTGGACTCGAGGTATCGATAAAGCAATTCTTTACCCGAAAGCTCGCTTACAGCCTTCGCGGACATACCTTAAGCTTGAGATAACAACATTTGCGGAATAAACGCAGAAGAAGCCTAAATTTTATCAAAAAGTGGCGTTCAGTGAGATGTTCTGATTTCGCACAGGCGCACCAGACGACAAAAACAAGCAATGGGCGTGATCACATATTGGAAAGTTGACGTGGTCTTCGTGGCAAATAATGACGGCATCACTTTTTGGAAAAAAAGTGCAATGATCGATAACAAAAAGGTGATTAACAAGTTCTTGCAATCGATAAAACGAGGGAAGAAGGTAAATTGGATTGACGGCACGGCTGCAAACGAAGAGTAATGCAGATATACCACTAATTTTTATAGAGCTTTACAAGGCGATCATAAAACAAACCCCTAAACTAATGCACTCCTCAAATCATGAAGATGTTTACGTAAATAAATTTATCTTTAAACTTCGAATTTCACATTGTTGATGAAAGTTTTGGGGGAAGTCAATTATCTACTGACAGTTTACCGCAGTAGGACTGCAGTGAATTTTTAAAATTAGATTTCTTAGAAGAATATAATTCAATCGCATATAGTAAGGAAGTAATGAATTTGGAAATTCCAAAAGGCCTAAATTATTGAAGTTTTGAATAAATATTATGACCTTATTATACTAAGTTGCAAACATAATAAAGTATTGCAATTATCATCACATAAACAAATGCCAGGCAATTGCCCTTATTTAAATTAAGATAAGCTGTTCAGCGTTGTTGTAAGATTAAAATGCGATAATTGTTTTTAATTTATTCGAGATAACAACATAGAGAGACTGCAGATTAGACAAAGAATAAACTTATGGAAAG